CGGTACCCGGGGGCAACTTAGTCAGCGCTGTGAGCTAAATACCCCCTCCTCACGGAGGGGGCGAAAAAATGGGGTTGCTACTCTGAAAAAGGGGTTGCTAACCCCTATTATGAATACCCTTACTTTTGTGTGCGTTATATAGTATAGTTAACTTTTTATTTCTTAAAGCAGTAACGCCTATAACGTTATATAATAACAAGAGTAGTATTAATTAATAGCCCTAATTAAGGGCTTTATAATAGTACTTTTTTTTCTTTTTTTATATAATAACTATAAATTTATATTACTACTATAATATAGGTATTACTTTTATTATTATTTACTATATATTACTAGTCTTTTTTTATTTATATTAATAGAGGTATAAATAGGTAATTTTATAGTATAACTATTATAGCCTTTTAGCTATTTATCTTATCCTTTATAGTATAATATTATAACTTATATTATAAAGGACCTTATAATATTAAAAGGCTAACTATTAGTGTTATTAGTAGTAATAGTAATAATATATAACTATTATTATTATTATTACTCCTAGGTATACTAACTAATTCTTTACTTAATATAACTAAATTAATGTCCTTATTAATAAGGTTATTAATGTCTATAAAGATCTTAGGGTTAAATTCTAGCCTTACTACCTCTATAGCTATATTAGCTAATGCCTAATTAATATTACCTTAACTAAAAGGTCTTACTATATACTTAAATTAGTTAAGTATATACTATAGTAAAAAAGCTAGGTTAAGGTTAATAGTAAATTTCTTTTTACCTTTAGTATTATTATTATACTACTGTAGATCTAAAGAGTTAAATAAAATATATAGTTAATCTTCTCTAGTATAGACTAGCTACTATTTAAAAGTTAGTTACTTTATCTATCTATTTACCTCTTAATACTTAGTAGCACTATATTACTACTAGACTTCTTTTTTTTACTTATAGGCTATCTTTTTTACTACTACCTATTAGCACTATATTTCTACTTATATTACCTTTATAACTTACTTATTATATACCTCTTTTATATCTATAATAGTAATACTAGTTATAAAGGAGTATTATAGTTTAATAGCTTACTAGTACTAGCTTTTTTATTACTATATTTTTAGTCTAGTATTTTAGTCCTTAAGGTGTTACTACTAGTACTTATAGGTAAAAGATCTCTTATAAATTACTTACTTTACTACTTTAAATCCTCTCTTTAAAGGACTACTTTATATACTACTATATTTCTCCTTTATATAGTTAGTAATAAGAATTACTTTATTAAAGTAGTTATTATATAGTAAATAATAAATAAGATATAATAGTATATCTTTATTACTTTATTATATCCTTTTAACTAGTTAGCTAAGTATAATATTATTATATATAGGCTATATATCTACCTTCTTAAAACCTTTTATAATATAGGCAGTAGTAAAGGCCTTTTTAACTATAGTATTAAAGGTAGTAATAAAGTTACCTCTTATAAATATAAGGTTACTTTCTTATATATACCTATAAAGTACTATCTATTAGGCCTTCTTAAAGTATTAAAAGACTTTTATATTTATTAGTTAAAGAAAGTATATTATATAAGATAAAAAAAAGGCAAAAATAATATTAAAGTTAATATAATATTCTATAAGCTTTAGACTTATATAGCCTATAAATCTATTAAAGAGAAAAAAGTAATATAGCTACTTTAACTTTTCTATAGTATTTTAATAGTTATAATACTTTACCTTTTATTTACTTAGTTAACTATTAGGTAAATATAAATTATAAGTATTATAACTATATATATTAACACTAAAATAGTCCTTAAAGGAGTAGCCTATTTAGTAATACTTTATTAACCTTATATATAACTTTATATTAAAGTACTATATATAGTCTATTATAATCTTCTAGTTAAAGAAGCTAGTTAGTAAATATATAATATAGACACCTTCTTAGACTTAGTAATCTACCTAAGCAGTAACTAGCTATATTTTAAAGATTATATATACTAAAATAGTATTACTAGATATATTACTAGACCTAACTAAGGTATATAACTTTTAATTAGCTAGATCTATAACTTTAGGTAAGTAGTTATATTTTAGTAGCTACTTAAGGATAATTATATATAGCTAGCTACTAAGGTAGCTAATCTAGCACCTAGATTTATTAGCGTTCTATATCTTAGATAGGCTAATATTATACTTACAGAGGGCAGCCTAGTACTAGGTAAAGAAGTCCTTTATTAAGGCTAGGTCTAACTTAGCCCCCTTTTAGTATAACTTAACTAGTTTAATAGTGCCTTTTTTCTAGAGCTCTAGATAGTTAGTAAGCTAGCTCTAGATAAAGTGCTTAAAGACTAGTAGTTAACCCTAGATACTATAAAGGTAGTTAGCTATTTCTTTAACCTAGAGTAGTAGGGCTAGAAAGCTAGATTTATAGAGCTATATAATAAAGGCACTAAGAGCTATATCTTTAGCCTCTGTAAGCAACTAGGGCTAGCTAGGCTTATTTAGGCTAACGCAGAGGTTATAGCCTTCTTAAAAGGCCTAGAGGTGCTTCTAAATTACTATATAAGATATACTATAATCCTAGGCAGCCTAGTGTATAGAGGGTATATTAGTTACTAGCTTACCTACCTATTAGTAGGTTACCTATTAATAGGTAATATATAGTATTTTAGCTACCTTTTTAGTAATAGTTATATTCTTATTATATTAGTAAAGTATATTAAAAGGTTAAAGTAAGGTAAGTAGTTTAGTTACTGTTAATATTTATTAATAATATATCTAAATAATTACTTGTTTTTAGTGAGAATATAATAAAAAGTAGGACTAGGTTAGGACAAGTAGTAACCCTATTTTCCTAGTGGTAACCCTATTTTTTTGCCCCCTCTGTGAGGAGGGGGTGTTTAGCTTTGACGAAGGCTGACTAACACCCTCGGGTAGCTCTTCTGGCTTCCGCTCCTGTCCATGGGCTCCCCACTGACACAGCAGAACGCATGCCATCCCTGCTTCGTCCCCCCGGCGAGGCATCCTAGCAATCCATCACTTAGCTGTCACTTCTCGGGGTTTCAGCGCAATGTTTATTTACAGTTGCCTTGGGGTTTACACTTCTCTGGACCCCTTATCCGCCACATACAATTCCCTTCCCGTGCGCATTTCCTCTTGGGCGCACAGCTTGAACAAGTGAATGTGTACCAAGCAAGCCCTACTACCTGTATACGCCCGGCATAGGCAGACCTGGAAATGAACGCACGGTTGGCCCGAGACTAAGCCCATCGCTCCCTATAATAATTACGGCTGGGACGAATAATTGAGGATGGCACTTGGGGGCAGAGAGGCTTGGGGCCTCACGGGGCCTCTGTTTCTGATTCACGCGAAGTGTCGTCGATCGGACGGTGGACCCGGACTTCACGATCCCCTCAACGTCTGCAGGGCAGTCCGCATCGTGCCCACACGAACTGGTGCTCTAGACGGACGGATCGGGCGAGCCAACGTGCCATCGGAGCACTCACAGCCCCGATGCCAACGTCCTGAATCGGACCCGGCGCCTCACCCCTAGATCGGGCCTGTTCCTCTCGCACGATTTCTAAGCCCGCCCCTTGCTAACTCGTACCACCAAACCTTCCCCCTCCCTGCCTTGTCCGTACCGGCCCTGCACACTCCATGTTCATTATCGCCGTGCAGCAAAGACTCCATCACCTTGACTCGGGTGGCTCCGCGTTTCTAATCTGATCTCGTTCTGTTTCTCCATGCCGCCAAGCGCGACTGCCTGTGGAAGAGGGAGCCGCTTTTGGCGATGGCGCACCCGCAATTCCCTACAGGATCTGGCCACCCCTGCACTACATACTTAACTTGTGCCGTCCGGTTAATCGTGGTTACTCTGCGATCACGAAGCCAGAAGCAACCCCCGGGCTGCAGTTCGCCAAGTTGTGGGTCTGTGCATATCACCATTCCTGTGAGCTTTCATTACACACTCCCCTTGCCAAATCGGCACAAGCCTTAGCCTGATGCAAGTGTATGTATTTTGGGAATCGTGGCAGGTAATACTGATGCCATGTCGACGGCCGCGCCGCGTGGGACAAATAGTAGTCACCAAGCCAGCTCATTCTGTCCCGACTTCCTTTGGGGCTCGATGCCCACTTGAAACGCGCCGATGGGCTGTTTCTTACTCGCGAACCTCCTCCGTCGCCACACCACCGACCCGACGGCGCAGAGGTCGTCGCCTACACACCAAACACACACGCAGGGGCATGACGATTGGGAGCGTGATGCGAGCATCATGTTGTCGGGGTCTGCGCCAAAATAACCATCGTCAGGGCACACTAGTCGCGAGAAGTGTGATTCTCCGACCACTTCCGACTGCCCTGGGTACCGGCGTACGTCGGCCCCCATCGTGTCCAAATCGCCTTGTGCCCACAACTTTCTCGGACTTGCATCCGTCAGGCGCGCCTGTTGTCTATGTTTGTAGGTCCCTCAGCTGCTCGTACAAGCGGCAGCACCGCGAATTGGATGACTCGGCTTCCTGGAAGTCTCCCAGAACGAGCGGGTGGAGGTTGCGTCTCCTGTTGCTTGTTCAGCCCCAGACAGTCTAGAAGAACAAGGGCTCCGTTCGTTTGCGCGCTTCCCTCCCCGTTGTGCCCAGTCATGATTCCTTGTCGGTTGACGGATGACAACTACGGAGCTGTTCATCAGGGGCTCGCGTTGAACCTCGCTCTTAATGGGGGTTTCTCTCGAGGGAGGTGACGCATGGTGAGGGTGGTAATTGGATCCTTCCCGCTTGCCCGAGTCTAATCGGTCGCCCTTGAGACCTACAAACTGCCGCGACGCTTGGAAAGAGTCCAGACGCGCACATCCGTCTCGTCGGCTGCGGTGACCAATGTGCTGAATCGAAGCTGCTATGGGGCCGGGTAGACGACACCTGATTCACCGTGATTTCGGACATTTTAGTCTTCAGCCCCCCGCGTCTCGGCACACGGTCTCGGAATCATTGAAGCCCCGAGAACAATGGGACCTGAGTATCGTACGATAGAAGTGCTGATAAATCTGTCATATTGTAATTCGACCAGGGAGCGGCTGTTACGCCTCACCAGGCCGAGGTGGGAGGATGGACGGGGTGTAGTCTTCGGAATGGCGGGCAGGGATACCAGCCTGCTGTCGCCAACCAAGGCCCGTCGCCGGCGCCGTTCAAGCACGTCTTCGAGCTCCGCGACTCCACCAATACCATCCTCCACGCCATGCGCCGCTCGCAGCCGACGCCCGAGAGCGTCCGCGAGATCAGGATCCCCTCCGCGTCGCACAACGGTGCCAAGGTCGGGCTCCGCCGCTTCGCGACCCGGGCGATGATCGAGGCGGCCGAGTCGCGGGCGACGTCGAAATCTACGCGCTGGACATCAAGCGCATGGTCGAGTCGTCCGGGATGCCCTTCTTCGCGGTGGAATACCGCCTCGCGCCCGAGTTCCCGGGCGGCGTGGCCGCCGAGGTACTGTTCCACGGGCAGCGGAACCTCTCGGCACACGCGGCGGCGTGGAACGTGAACGCCGTGAGAATCGTCCTGATGGGGGACTCGGCGAGTGGCGGGATCGCGGCCGGCGCGGGACCGGGGGCTGTCCCCCCCTTGCGGCGGGCGGTACCGGTGTACCCAATGCTCGACGACCGGACGGCCCTATTGGAGGACAGCGCCATGAGCCTGCTGCTGCTGTGGGAGACGAACGGCAACCTGCTCACGTAGCGAGCCGTGTTGGGTGAGGAGGCGGGGAGGCCCGAGTCGGAGGTGCCGCTGTACGTGGCGCCGGGTCGGGCCGGGGTGGAGGACCTGCTCGGCCTGCCGAAGACGTATGTGGGCGTGAGCAGCCTGGACCTGTTCCGGGACGAATGTATGAACTTCGTGGGGAGACTGGCGAGGGCTGACGTCGAGGTCGAGTTCCGCCTGCGTCCGGGACTGCTGCACGGGTTCGAGGGCGTGGCGGAGATTGGGTGCGTGAAGAAGGTGCCGGAGGCGAGGTACGCGGCCATGAGGGAGTGAGGAGGTTGACTCGGACTGGCTGGACGGGGAGAAGTCGTAAGGTTTGGTCTTGTTTGCTCTTCTCAAGGGGAGAGTAGTGCGGCACTCGATATGCTTTGCGGGTGTAACATCGACTGTATTGACCATGTTCCAGCTCTTATTTCATCGATGCCGACAACAGCAGCCGACCTTTATCCGGTAAAGTAGTCAAAGCCAGGCCGATGCTGTCGCACTTGAATAGACCACTTGGTCGGCAGCTCCAGTCGTTACCCTGCAGAGAATCGCCACGGGTGTCAAAAGAAGGGTGGACAGGAGAGACATGCTTGACGACGGCAGTGCCGAGTAGCTAGCAAAGATGCGGGGATAAGTGACTGGGCGGACGAGGGCTGGCTGCATGGCATCTTCACCATCTGTTTTGCTGCTGATTGGCTGTGACATATCTCGTTCTCACTGTAGAGTAGTAGCCCTTGTTTGTTGTGATAGGATATATAGGAAGCAAAAGGCAGAGATGGTTACGCTATTGGTTTTCCAGGAACTAAACATGTCCATCCTACCTAGATAAGCTAGAAGCCAAGTTGTTGCCGAACCATCACGCCGGCTGAACAGCAATGTGCCTTTATCGTTTTATGCAATTGCGTTGACTGGATAATGTGCCTTGAAGGGCGTATGCTGACATTGAGACAGTTGTCTTTCTACTGTCAACTGGCCTCCAATTACAGCACACACAAGAGCTCCAAGGGTTCAGCACTTGGTTTAAATGGCAAACTGCATAGCACGAAGCCTTCATCAGCCGCTTGGAGCTCCTTGTCTGTTTCCTTAAAATACTCCGGTGGTGCCAAGTATATGTATTTGACACTCACTCTATGACTTCTACCATGGTATAGACCCATACGATTGCTCGACAAAATATTGATCGAAAGCACTCGAACGTCAGAGGGCTATTGGACTAGACGCCGGAGTAAAGATGGAGCAAACAACCTCCCGCAGTCCCCTACCCCGCCTTTCGCATCCCGGATGCCTCCGTCCCCGCGTTTCCAGGATACTGTGACCCTTGTCACCAAAGGGGCCGTGGGAGTAACAGTCTTACTTGAAGTGGCGGTCTATCGGCTTCAAACCCAGGTAAGGCCCTTCGTCTTTGACATAATGCACCACCTTCTCCCTCGCATCAAACATCAGCCGAGTGAACCGTCGGTTCGCCCTAAGCCAGGAACAATTCCAACATGGATCGGCACACCCCCGCAATCTCCTAGGCGGCCCATTTACATTTCTTCTTTCTTGTCGGCAAAGAAGGAAGGTGCTTGTGTCTGCCAGGGCCCCGATGCGACGTGGCCAAGCCGCCAGGCGGCACGTGGGCAGTCATACAGAAGCCCAGGGCCAAGGGCCTAATGAATAAACTCATGACCCCGGGAGCAATCTCGCCTTGACAAGGATCGAATCTCGGACACTGGACGGATTCTTGAGCGGCGGACGGCTCCGAAACGATGAAATAGGCCAGGTGCAGCATTGTAGCCGGACACTTCTCGCACTTTTGCAATGCTGGCCGGGTAATCTGTGGTCTCGTGTAGAGTCGAGCTGCCAGGCCCCTGGGACTGGGTGTCAGGGAACTTAGGTGGTGTGCTAAGCTTGTCTATAGACTATTTAGGCAAATACCTAAAAGATTAACTAATGTTAGCACTTTATGCCAGTATTGCACTATATATACACTTATTAAGGGAAATCCCTACTTATTCCCTTATATTATACTTCTTCCTACTATAACTTATCCTAAGCTACTGAGAGTACACTAGTAACTATACACTGGAGTATATTAGTGTATATTAACTCTAAAGGCCCTAGGCGCCTAGCACCTAGCGCTAGCTAGTATCTTCCTGGCTACTACATACACTAGGCCTAGCCTATGCACTATAGTCCCTATAAGCCTAATATAAGCGTTATAACTAGGACTTAAATATAAATACTACCTAAGTTATTACTAAGCTAAAAGACCTATAAAGTACTAATATAATGTTAAGGAACTTAGGTATTATACTAAGCCTGTCTATAGACTGTTTAGGTAAATACCTAAAAGATTAACTAATGTTAGCACTTTATGCCAGTATTGCACTATATATACACTTATTAAGGGAAATCCCCACTTATTCCCTTACACTAGGTAAGGTTGCGTCAGCAATATATTAACTGTGCTCCCACCAGCGTTTGTGCAGGTACGCCGACTGGCGGAACATTATGTCTTACTGTCTTGGCAAACCAAGAATCACACGAACTTGGAGCTCGGCCGAGCGGAGTGGGACCTCTCCCAAACTGTCTGCTAACTGTCGGTCCAAGAAGACCACGACTTGGCCGATCCTTAGAATGCTATAAAGTAGAAAACGGTCTCAGCATCTTATCAAGGGAACGGTGCCCTCCGGTAGCTCAGCTGCTCCGTTCCTATCTCCGTGTCTCGCCTCGGTTCTCTGGGTAATAGCTCTCGCACCTGCACCATGAAGTTCTCGTCATTCTTCGTCTCTCTGGCACTGGGCGCGCTCCAGGCCGCCGCCGCACCTGCCGAGCTTGCCGCTCGGGCACCGACTCTCTTCCTCTGTGGCGACAGCACCATGGCCCGGAGCAGCGACGCCCAGATGGACGGCTGGGGCCAGTACGTCGGCAAGTACCTGAATATCGCCGTCGTCAACCGGGCCATCGGCGGCCGCTCCTCGCGCTCCTTCTGGAACGAGGGCCGCTTCCAGAGCGTCGCCAACGAGGTCAAGGCCGGCGACATCGTCGTCATCGAGTTCGGCCACAACGACGTCGGCTCGCCCCGCTCCAACGATAACGGCCGCTCCGTCTGCCCCGGCGAGGGCACAGAGACCTGTATCTCCGACAAGACCGGCGAGACCGTCTACACCTTTGTCTTCTACGTCATCCAGGCCGCCAGGCTCATGACGGCCAAGGGTGCCACCGTCATCCTCAGCTCGCAGACCCCCAAGAACCAGTGGGCCACCGGCACCTGGGATGGCACCCCTTCCCGCTTCGTCTCCATGCAGCAGAAGGCTGCCGCCGCCCTCAGTAACCCCGCCGTAACCTTCGTCGACCATCACCAGGCTGTAAGCAACATGTACCGCAAGCTCGGCTCTTCAGCGGTCCGCGCTCTGTACATCAAGGACAACACCCACACCAGCCCCGCTGGCGCCGACCTTAGCTCTCAAGCGTTCGTCCAGGCCATCTACCAGAAGATGAACGGCACCACTAGCCTCTCTCCCTACGTAAAGACACCAGTCAAGATCGTCTACTAATTGACGACACAATAATTATTGTGCTTGTGCGGAGGGGGAAGACACCAAGAAAGAGGACTGGGTCTCGTTTGGTGGATCTGGGTATAGCTTCGTTGTATATTTTCAGACAAGCCAGAATATTACTACCTAGGCAGAAACTTAAAAGTCGTCTGGCTTTCTCGATGTTTAGGTGTCGCAGTTGTGGAAAGTTGATTGCTTGATCTCGCCAAGGAACATGGACTCGGATGCACTGCCTTCTTCATTCCCAGCGAAAAATTTAAAATACTTCGGAAGAGCGTAGGACAGCCCATAATATCTCGATTGCTATGCTCCTACACCACTACCGAAATCCAATCCAATCGACCTTGCTGTAAAGACATACTTTGTTGATACCTAGCAAGAGCATTGATGGCGATGTAGCTAACACTGATGGCGCTCGCTATGCTTTGCTCCTCGAAACGGGGCGAACTTGACGAAGACGAGGATTCTGTACATGATCCAGGATACGATGACCCAACTGGCTACGAATAACAGCTCCCAGGCAAGCATGTAGCTAATCGGCATCTGTCGATCCAAGTATAATAGAAGCCAGAGCGCTACATCGGTACCGGCAACCATCATGAAGCCGATCGCGGCACTTATACCGATCAATATTGTATTCGATACCGCAATACGGGTTGTCGTGGTCCTCTGGCTGTATGTGACGGTGTCGATGGGACGGCTATCGATCGATAGGTGACACGTTTTCTCGTCGCGGTAGGGATAGGCTTCGGCGGACATCTTAGCTCTGGTTTTCGAGTCTGCCATCTTGCTTATGAAGAAGAGCTTGCTGCTGGCCTGAGTAAAGCGATGCTTCGAGTGCGGCTTGGCGTCAGGACTCGTTGTTCGGCGAAGAGCTGGGGAATCGGGCGTGGAATGAGGCTTACGGGAACGCGAGATGAAGCTCTTTCAGTCTTGAAATCTCCTTCATTACCATGCTTCACTGAAATTCACAGCGAAAAAAGACAATCCCGAGCATCGGGGCATGCGCCAAGAGTTAAATATGCATTGGCTTATCGAACGGCGATATGTGGCTTGCACTACCTGAGAAAAGTTCATTTGTCCGATAGGGATCGGAGGGCTTGCAGCTAGGAAATGGCATTAATTGGGTGAAATGAGGGCAGAGTTCCAATTCCACCCTTATACTTCTCATGCCTACCATGGAGTCAACAAACTTTCTAGATATGCGCCACTTAGGACAGTTTGAACGCGAAGGGTATGACTGAAAGCTCACTATGGGCAGTGTAAAATGGTCATCAAGAAACGAATGTGTGGCTTAGTATGACTACTAGTATGCTTTGTAGCCAAGTATCATGAGATACAAAGGCTCTATTGCAGCCTCTGGAGCGTAGTAAAGCGCCTGGGATATCATGGTAGAACGCGATCTCTGGAACGAACTTAGACGGCTCTTGCGATAACACCTGTCATATTGCAAAAGATAGGCGAAAAAAAGGAGGAAAGCTCGAAAATTTCACATGAGAAAAAAATTCGTAGAAGCTTCGTTGGGATGAAGTTCTATGCAATATTCCTGTTTGTCATGCCAACCTTTCCGGTTTTAATTCTGAGAAGAAAGCGTCATTGTGGAGCGTAAGACGCGGCGAGTCCGCAGTCGACTCACTGGTCACCTCTGGCTTTGACATGCATGAGCGGATAAGGACTCGGACCAGTTTTCCGATGCTGGCTGCGAGTTTAGTGAAATTACGAAGCTGAGAAGAAGAGGAACTGGGTTGGCGATCCTTCTGAGCTGGGGAATGGTGTAGACAAGTAGTCAGCCCTTTGTACGAGCTTTTGCATCTCACCGCACCATAACAATAGAATGTGGAAAATAGATTCACTACTTTTCAATTCTCCATTCAGCTTCGCATGACGATAAGATTTCTAGGCTTGGAGTGTTGGCCGGACACCAAACGAGGGGAATGGATGTTGTGTCATGGGAACTCTGCACCAAACTGTCAACGAGGTGAAGCGACAGTAGCCCGAGAGGGCCGGATGAATATTCAAAGAATAGGTTTGCTTGTTTCGGCAGAGTGCTCCAAGTCTGATAAATTAAGACAAAGGTTCTGTAATGTTCTCGCTGATTAGGTTGTTCTGATAAGATGAGCAAAACAAGACAGCGTTTCTGGTGATCCGAAGCTTCGAACAATAGATGAAATCATATGGCCCGTAGGTTCGAAGTTGAGGCCGTTGAACGGTCGACCAAGCTTCCGTCATAGTTGCGTTTCTAAGCAGGTAGTAGCATGGAGGCAGTGGAGATCACATATTTACTCCCATTGGCCTTTCCGCAATCGCTTAGCTCCACGTCTGTCCCGATATCTTTGCACAAAACTTCTTCAACTCGCTGGACACAACCTTGGAGAGAGTAGAACGACTGTTTGATGGCCCGGAAATCTCATAAACATATGAGACATATGAGACTTATTACCCAAGAGGTGATAATGGTCAGCTTGGAACCGATTGTCCCGCATCATTCGCCATCAATAATATGCGCGTCTCCGAAAACATATCGACCTGCTCTCCCGAAGAAGCAGAAATGAATGGTAGGTACGTTTCTTAGCACTGTGTTCGATTTTAATAGTGCTGGTAGTGCGGAATATTGGCAAGCTAATCGATACCGTACGGACATTAGGGCTGGGTGATGACTCGGAAATCTACCCGGGGGGCGGTCGCGATGCGTGGCTAGTTGTGGTGGGTGCATGGTGTGCCATGTTCTCATGTATGGGACTCCTTAATACCTTGGCTGTCCTTCAAGCCTGGATCGCAGGACACGAGCTTCACGGTCTCCCAGAGTCGACGATAGGCTGGGTCTTCAGCACTTATGCTTTCTTCCTGTACTTCTGTGGCGCACAAGTCGGTAAGGAGACACCAGATATTAGAAGCATGTATTTCCAGCGGAGCTGACCTTTGGAGCTCAGGCCCTCTCTTTGATGCTTGCAATGTGAGGTTTCTAGTAATACCTGGATGTATCGGCATTGTGGCGTCTGTCATGCTCATGAGTGTCTGCAAAGGTAGAGTTTTTTGCTCTCCACCAAGTACCCAAATGACAGCAAACTGACAGCGCCCGAGTAGAGTTCTACCAGTTCTTTCTGACCTTTGGAGTTCTTGGTGGCATCTCAGCCTCGCTACTTTTCAATACGAGCATCGCGTCTATCGGCCATTGGTTCTGTAAGCGCCGTGGTATAGCCACCGGTATAGCTTGCACGGCCGGAGGAGTCGGCGGCGTTGTCTTCCCTCTGATCATTCTATACATGGCCCCGAAGCTAGGTTTCCCGTGGGCGATCAGGACTGTAGGCTTCATTTGCGCTGCTGCATCTGTATTGGCCTGTTTGCTTTTGCGGAAAAGGCTACCCCCGAACAGAAAGGGTGGTGGCTCCATCGACCTGAAAGCTTTGACAGAGGTACAGTTTGGTCTTACTACCTTGGCTGTATTCCTGGTAGAGTTCGCCGTGTTCATACCTTATACCTACATATGCTCCTACGCCATCCACCAGGGTGTCGATCTGCAACGGGCCTTACTTCTGAACGCTCTCCTCAACGTCGGCGCCATACCAGGCCGCGGCCTCCCGGGCTATGTGGCGGATCGGTTTGGATGTTTCAACGTCATGTGTATCACTACGCTGATATGCTGCGTGTTCATTCTTGCGCTTTGGCTGACAACAAATAGAGGAGGAGAGGCACCTATAACGGCATTTGCTGTCCTCTATGGCTTCTGGTCAGGCGCCGCCATCAGCCTGACGCCCGTATGCGTGGGGAAGGTTTGCAAGACAGAGGATTATGGAAAGAGGAGCGGCACGGCGTTCTTCGTCTCTAGTTTGGCCGCACTCGTTGGCGTACCGTTCGCCGGGGCCATACTACAATGGTCGGGTGGTGCCTACCATGGGCTCATTCTTTTCGCTGGAGGGTTGTACATATTAGCATTCTGTGCCTTCGTAGTTGCCAGAGGAGTGGCTGGCGGCTGGAGCCATAAAGTTCTTTTTTGATTACTGAATGGGGCTCATTGGGTACTCTAGGTTAGAGTGAGGTGAATGTGGAACGCCTGGACGGCCACCGTTCTCTATTTTCATAGAGTATAACTTGTGGATATATCCCCATTTATACCCATGTAGGTTTCGCCTCCATTGAAATGACTTAGATTAAGAGTTAAAATCTTGCATGCTTTTCAACCTCTCAGGCTTCAGACGCGCCTCGGAGGCTTTACAAACAGTGACAAGAATGAGGGCGTACCTGAACGTCTTTCACTCAAAGGCAAATCACAAGCTCAGTCACCTTGTGCGGACCGTTCATATCGAAAACAGACTTCAGATCTGCAGCCAAAATGAATTTCACGACTGGTTTATCATCACATCCCTCACCTCGATGGGTAGTTTAGGAATCCGAATCCACACAAAGCCAAATTTGATAGCCAAGGAGCCTGAATGACAGAGGTATTTAGGCTCCCGAGCTCCCAATACTTACAGCTATCTTCTCTTTACAGACATTGTTTTTACCAGACAAATTCCAAGATCCTCCTCATCAAAATTTCCCTCTGCCAACAAAACAAAGCAACCATGCGCTTCACCGGTCTCACTACCCTCCTCATAGTTGCCCTCATGGTAGCTGTGTGCATGGCAGGCAAGCCTGAACAGGTTCCTAACGGATGCTGGGGCAAGTGCAGCAAAGAGTGCATCGCCTGGGTCGTCCCCTTTTTCGTTCTGTTCCCCAAGTTCATTGATTGCCGTACGTAACAAAATCTCTAAATGACGACTTTTATCTCAGTATGGCTCATATTTATGTGTAATTTGAACAGGCAAACAATGCATCATCGGAATGTACCACCCCGAGTGTCGTGAGATGTTGAAGAATGTTAAGCTCGGCCAGTAAAGCGGGCGGCAAAACGGCATGAGAGATGGCAACTGTTGAAGGTCTCGGTGTGACGGATCTGTCAGTCCTTCCACAGGACTAATGTGAATATACCAGAAGGGCGGGTTGTTCAGGCTTGGAAAATTAAGGCGTCAAGGATCTTTATGGGCGTAATAGTATATCAACGAGCTTGCTTCCAGCCAATCGTGGCACTCGTAGGCATACATCAAGACTTATCTGTTTGCCTGGCAGTTCTCGATCTCATTGAAACTTCGTTAACGAATGCATCATAAGCCTTGTCAGCCGCCGATTTCTCCACATTGTGCTGCTTAGTATTTTTCAGCGCCAACAAGATCGTAGAAGCCTTTGATTTCAAGTGATTATAAAGATGGTGTGTCGCAAAGGTCTATGAGAATTTTGGCATGGTCCACAGTTGTGATTCATAAATTGCATAAAGAACCTTAATCTCACCTTAATCTGTAAATGACACACCGGCAAGGTTGTCATACTCTCATCCCAAGCTCGATTGAAGTATGAAAACATGTTCGTGCTGATTGAAAGCTTAGGGGTTCAGCATCACAGGACTGTCTAATTTTGCCGTATAAGATTCGAATAGTGATATGCGGGCAATGCCGTACTGAGATTGAATTAATTATCATCTCGATGATAGGATTATATCTATGGACAGCTCTTTAGAATCCGGCTTGATCCGCAAGGTTACAATATCGACTGTCATGCCCTCATACCCCATGGCCCTTTCTAGCTTTCCCATATCTTCAGTTCGTTGTCTAAAATTAGTGTCATGATGCACAACACCTGCCAGGCTTGATTCAATCTCTGAAACTTCGGATGGTAGTGGTTTAAAACCGGTCTATAAGTGAGATCCTGATCTTTATATCTTCTTCCTCTTCTTTGTATTTTGATTTTTACTC